TTAATATTTATCATGTTATATGTTTTGTCACGCATAAGAACTTGTTCAAACTGCGTGTGCCTTTTCCCTGCAGCACCTCCCAGCTATGCAGAAGTGGTTACGGAGGAGCAACGGCAGTCCAGCCTTGCACCCTTAGGTGTTTGTGATGACTTTGAGAGAGCGCTTCCAGGACCACTGTTTGCGTACATCCAGGAATTTCGTTTTCTTCCTCCACCCCTCTATTCAGAAGTAGGTACCTCAAAATATAATTATGAATACACTGTTTCTTTGAATTCTGCCATGTGGAATAAACATAAGAAACTGTTTCTGCTTTGTGAAAACCAGGACAAATAAGCAAAAATATGAAAAGGTGAAAAGGTAACTTAGCTTTAGCAAAGTGCAGATAAATTGCATCAAAAATTTTCCAGGATTCTTCACTATTGTAATGCTTCATAGAGATTCTGAAATCGTTTTGCACTCTCTCAGCAAATTATTGCAGTTATATATGACATTAATGAATACCAACGTTTTCAGACTATAGATGCAAAACAAACTGTTTTTCACCTCTGATCTAAAAGTACTCTGTATTTTTAGCTCTTTGTATGTATTACTTTCAGAATTTCCATGCGGAGAAGATTCAAAGGTGTTCTTTCTGGCTCAGGTTTCTCTAAATGCACAGTTCAAATGTTTCTGTCTGCAAGTTCACTTCTGTGAAAGTCACTCAATAACTGGGACGCATGTTCAGGCTTCAAAACCTTCAAAAGCCATGTTCATATTTTTCAGGGAAAAATAGTGGTATAGGACAAAATAAAATAGTGTCCTTTGGCTAAATCTTGCCTGGATCCACCCACTCATGATTGTTTGTTTTCCTCTTGAAGTACTTAATCTGCTAGTGAATGAGTGCATGGCATGTTTTTTGTGTCTCTTCTATAACATAAGCCTAGAATACAACTCTGGAGCTTTTCATTTTAGGTACTCTAAATATTTAGAAGTCAGCTTTTCCTTTGTCTTTTTAAAATAACTGACCAAACTATATAGTGTCCACTTAAACTATACTTCCTATTGAGTTTTGGAGACCTAGGTTAGAGACCATGTTCTTCACCTCCTTCCTTTTGTTGAAAGGAAAAGGTGGTAATGTGTGGTACATATGAACTTCTGAAACATTGTATGGGGTCTTTCAGGATTCATTACTTACAAATTAAGTAGAAGAACTTTTTACTAATAATTTTGTGCCATTTTAAGTAAAATGTCTTCCAAAATCAATTTCGTATTTTAAGCTGCATGTTAACGTGATGGGTCTGGTTGTCTTAAGCAATAAATAATTTAGAACATTTGTGCTACTATAGCAGATTTTTTACAATTTTTTATTACATGTTTGTGCTTATTCTTAAGCTACCATCAATGTGCCGTTTAAAATGTTTCACTATACTTAGTAATTTTCAATTCAAAGTTTTATCTAATTTTTAGAGATACTTCAGTTATCTGAGTAACTTTCAGATTGGGAATAGCATTTATCTCTGACAGTCTTGGACTTAAAAATTTTGGTGTTTGGATTGATTTATTCTCTAGCAATCAGTACTAAAAATACCTTGGGTTGTTGTGGTTTCTTCTCTTTTGTTTAGATTGATCCGAACCCAGATCATCCCACAGACGACAGACCATCTTGCCCTTCTCGTTGAAAGAATCCATAAGAAGCTGACTTGACTTGGGTTTGGAATCATACCTGTTGTGTTGAAGGTCAAGGCATCATAGTGGAGACACACTTTCAAAGAAAGTGGGTTTGCTCTTGCCTGTGTGGTGAATAAATGAAAACAACCTGTGATCATGCTTTGAAGCCTACAGTAACATTGTAGGACTGCTCCACATTCTTGAAGAACTGAGCTTTCCCCCCTCCTTCTTAAATACTGGCACATACTAGGAGCAGCCTTACTAACCTACAGTCATGTGTGTCCAAACACCCAAACCACATTAAGAGAGGTTTGGCTTCCTCTTACAATTTGGAAATTTGCACATGCTTATTGCTTACATTGTGCGGTTCAGTGTCACTACAGCTTTTCCTCATTTACGCCGGACAGTTGTTACCCCTTTCTTATGTCTTGTGGTCCGCACAATAAGGAGCAAAAGAAAGCTTTGACAAAAGAAAGAAAGAAACAAACAACCCAACAGCAACAGACTTTGACAAATGCACTGACTTTTCTTCTTTTTTTTAATTTAATGTAGCCTGGACTTTACCTGCATATGCACATGCTCAGAATTGTCCTAGTAGGCTGATCCTGTATCACCTCTTCAGCTTGGATCCTATTGTGGATTTATTTTACAAACATCAAATGCCTTCAAGCCAATCCTACTTGCTGTATGTTTTGCAGCCTACTGTAGTAGATAAGCAACAGATATGGGGATAGGGTGGGAGGGTGAAGAGTTAATAGAAAGAAACTAATAGACTTTGTCAAGATTGTATACTTTCTTGATTTTTTTTAAGAATTTGTTGCCTTTCTACTATTATTGCAAAGCAGCATTTTGTTACAGACTGCCTAAAAATCACTTAATCTCAGGTGAACTTATCACTTGCCAAACTGTTGGAATGCTATTTGGTTTTTTATGTTGCACTGTTGAATTAGTTCTTTTTTTGTGTTTGTGTTTTGTTTTTTGTTCTTTATTTGAGAGGGAGATCTGGAATAAGGACATACACAAAAGTTATGAAATCCTCCTCATTCCCATTTCTGTTTCTGCATTATAAAAAAAGATGTTCAAGTTGTGAAGCTCTTAAAAAAAAAAGGCACAAATGAAAGCAGCACCAGCAGACACCAGCTGTTCCTCAAAAGACTATTAAAAGGAAGTGGTCATACACTGTCTAGATTCACAGGCAGATCAATATCTCAAGTAGTAGAGATAGGAAGGGAAAGTAAATTTATTTTTATATATAGCTACTTAAACACCAAAAATGCTGTATCTGATGAGTCTAGTAGAAAGTATATTTCAAACTGCAGGAAAAGCTTCTTTTATGCTAAGAGCTCAGTTTGTGCACTTTGTATTACCTTCAGGGTTCATGATACTGTACAAGATTAGAAGTATAATTAAAGCAAGAAAGATCAGTGTTACCACCATACTTAAATATGAGTTAGGTGGAAGTGCTTTGATAACTGCATCTTTCTTTGGCACTCTCAAGAGCTTTAAAACAAACAGAACTCTGAATTATACCATGTATTCATCCAGAATGCAACAAAACCATATGGAAAGAGCACTTGCCCTTGAGTGTGCCCCAGGGAGAAGAGTGCAATGGAGCCATTACCTGTGCTAACAAATACCAGTGCTTAGATGCTGGAGATGTACAATGGAAGTCAACTTTGCTCTTCAGAAACTGTGGAACACAGATCACTGACGAAGGGACACTGTTCTGGTCTTGAGTATTTGAATAAATCAAGATCTAATCCATCAAATACCTGTCTCCTTGTGCAATAAAAAAGCTCTGAAGAGAGTGGGAGAGAGGAGGCTGGTGTTTCTGCATGGTGCTCATTTTTAAAAACTTTTGCCTTGTTTTTAAGGCTTCATAAATGCGACAAAATAGGCTTTTCCATAAGTGGCCTTTATGAGAACATGAAAGATCATTCATGTTTCAAAAATGACAACAGGGTGATAAAATACAAATGAGTCGCGTTTTAAGTGATTCAGTTAAAAGGCTTGGGCTTTGAGCGGGAATATTGGCAAGAGGGAAATTGGATGATGCTACTAGGCCAATTTTGTGGATGTCCCTTCCCTCTACCCTCTCCAACCAAACAATTTTTAATGCTGATGGGATTGTTGGTATAAAAGGGCATTTGGTGGTTTTACTTTTTTTTCCTTTTTTTGTTCTTTTTACAGACTAGGGAACAATTGCTGATATACATAGCATTAAAGTACTTAGCACAATACAATGGAAAATTGCACATGAGGCAGGATTGACCAATTTCATAGTAATTGACTTGGCATTACAGCCTTTGTGATTAGAATGAAAAATTGTATAAGCTTATCAAATAAAGACTTGCAGTTTAATTTACTCAGAGGCATTACTCTCCCACAAATATTGGTCAGTTCTCAGCATTATAAAACTTGAGGTTCACAGTTGAAACCCGGTATTTGATAGAGAATTCTGATCTGAATTAGGAAAAAGTAAGTAAAATCCAAACATTAGAGAAACAAAGTGCAATATTAAATGTTTGCTTTATAGATTATATTCTATGGCTGTTTGTACTTTTTTTTTGTTTTTAGTTTTGGTGCTGAATATGTCCTTGTAGACTCTTGTTTTAAGAAAACAGTATGTGGAAAACAGTTTAATTTTTCCTATTGCTCTTCCTTGTGGAAAATAAACTTTTGTAAAAAAAAAGGGTTTTAAATGTTCTATCTATGTGTAAAATAAAAAAACCCCAAGTATCACATAATAGAGGAACTTACTGCAGGAAAACATATATTGCTTTCTCAAAAAATAGAAAAAAAAACTATTTCTAGAACTATACCACTGAGTACTACTGGAGTCTAGTTTCGGGATCGTATCTGTTTTATTTACATGACTGAGCTCATGGGGCCAGGTCCCAGATGGGAAATGCCTTTTTAGGACTGTGTATCGCATTACAGCTGCAGTGACCCTGTTTTGAGGTGTCTGGTCCTTTGCCTGAGGAGGTGACACAAATATTGGGGGAATAGGAGGAAAGAGGGGAGTGACTTCAAAGGTCTAGTTTGCAGCTGGAGCTTTTACATGAAGTTTGTTGACTTGTAGAAGATGTCCTTTGCTGTTCCCTTGGAAGTAAGGAAATGTGGAAATGTGTTCCCTGCGCAATGTTGTTGAGTCTCCTCTGTGTGCCAGCAGTGTGGTGGTGCTGCAGCATGTCCTGTCTGCTATGCACGGGCAAAATGGATTGTCATTGTCCTTCAGGATCAGCATGTCATTTGACCAGTGAGAAGAACAGAGGCTTGAGTGGCAGGCCTGCCCTCTGCACTTCTGTTGGTGTTTGGGGTACTGGGCCACAATGTTCCCACAGTACTGTATCTTCACTTCAGGGATGCAGCTGCTAACATGGGCAACATAAACATTGATCCAACACCTTACATAATACAAACAATAAGACCTCCTCTCTAAATAGAGCATTTCAGCTTAATTTTGAGCTTAGTTTTGTTTTTGGTGAAGAATTCAGACAGACTTAAGAATTAATTCCCTCCTTATTAATAATACTGTTCATAATATTTGCCTAAGTTCAGGTTAAAACCAATAAGAAACATGAAAGTTGTCATTTTGCTAATCTGCTTGGAGATCTGTTACTGTGTGTAACCTCTACTAGCGAAGAAGGAGTGTGACGCTTCTCCCTAAGTGCCCCACTGTGGGTGTGGGAGGAGAGTCAGAAGAGTCAAGTGAGAAGACTCAAGAGTTGAGATAAAGACAGTTTAATAAAGAAAAAGCCACAGATGCAAAGCAAACCAAGGAATTCATTCCCCATTTCCAGTAGGACAGGCTTGGGTTCAGCCATCTCCAGGAAGACAGGACTCCATCATGCCTTAATGGTGACTTCGGAAGACAAGCTCCATCACTGAATGTTCTCCCACTTCCTTCTTCCCCCATCTCTATATGCTGAACATGATACCACATATCCTAGAATATCCCTGTGATAAACTGGGGATCAGCTGTCCCAGCTGTATCCCCTCCCAGCTCCTTATCTACCCCCAGCACACTTGCTGATGGGGTGATTCAAGAAGCAGGAAAGATCTAGGTGCATTGTGAGTTCTGCCCAGCAGTAACTAGAACATCTCTGTGTTGTCAGTGCTGCTTTCTGTGCAAATCTGAAACACATCCCCATAATAGCTACTGTGACAGAAATTAACTACCCCAGTCAAAACCAGAACAAATTCCTTCATAGCTAAGTGACTATATATATATATTATTTTTTTAAAATCTTTTTATTTTTTTAATATCTGTACAACCCTTCTAGTGCTACATTATAGAGTTAGAATTTAAATTAGCACCATTAAAGGAACGATCTGCTAGCAGTTCTGTGCAACATCTTGAATCCTACATTTTCAGACCAGTACCTCTACCTAACAAACTTAGCTGTATTGTCAGTGTTATAAATTTGGAAATTATCAAAGTTTTGCTATTTGAGACCTTGAGAATTTTTAAATGCAGATGGTTATTTATATAAATAGTATAAATGTAAATATATAAATATATATAAAGGTAAATATATAAATGTAAATATGTAAAAGCCTGTAACACCAGGATGTAAAACTAATGACTCTTCCACCTCTGCCATCCATTAAAGTGTACAGAACAGCAGCAAGTTACAATTGCTTAAGCACTTCAGCTTTGAGAGGCAATGCTCTAATATGGATCAAGATATTTTCTGGGAATTAGCTAGTTAAAACATGTACCTAGTACTTTTTAACCACTTGCTAGATTTAAACCTTCCCTTGTTTTACAGAAATGGACCACTACCTTGCTTCACTACCTTACCTTTCCACAGCACAGCTACAAAGCACAAAGTCCAGCTACCACAGTGATGAAGGGTCTCCTGAAGTAGTTTGTGAAGCTGGGCAGCAACACAGCAATGCATTTCCACAGGAAAACATATATACTTGGGCTGATGCTGCTGATCTGAACCAATTCCTGCAACTAGGTACACAGCTATGGGCAACTGTTGCAGAGAGACAAATGACCAGCAGAGATTCTTCATAGGCTAGTGCTGCAGGAAGATGGCTGTTCCTGGGGACACAGAGGCAAGATGTCCCACATGTTGTGGATTTTGAGCGGAGTCCCCCTTCAGAGATCAACAGACACATTAAGACTTACCAGCATTTGCACTGTATGACCATTCCTGTGGATTTTAGCTCCTGGATTTTGATGATACTAGTGAAAGTCACTTGCAAAGGCACATTGTCAAGCACACTCCACCTTGACCTCCAGATCATATCCTTGAAAATTAGCAGAAAATTAGCCTATATCTTCTCCCAGCAGCCATTCACTCCTGGAACTCCACCTGGATACAGGATGCTATTTCTAGAGCTGGATCTCCCTACCTAGTGGATATTATGACAGAGCAGTAGCTTCTGAGTAGAGTCCAAGTGCTGTTATGAAATCCAAGTTGAATAGTGCACCTTTCACCTAGTACAGCATCTAATGGGGGATTCAGAGTTCAGAAGGACACTGTTGTGCCTGTTGAGTTTGCTTCAGGCACCTTGCCTGAGATGTTTGTCATAACTTGGATGAAAGACAATTACCTGGATCAGAGAAGGGGAGAGTGCTAAATATAACATAAAAATTGAATTATTTAGATGTATTTTAAGGGGGAGAGGATTGTACAATTACAATATTAAAAAACACATCCAGAAAGTTAGCCTGGCACTATGTGATAATTCTCCTGTGTTTTACACAGGAAAAACTCACCTCTCCCTCTAAGACAGTGCATTCCATCTACCATGAGCAGCTCCCTGCATGATCTTCTGCTGGGGCACTGAGGGAATAACCAAGCACACATGCATTCCTCTTGCTCCCGTATGTCACTACCAAGAATCTCACCTTCCATCACAAGTCTTTCCAGGCTAAAACATGTCTTTGGCTCACCAACTCTCCATCAAATGTAATTTGTAATGGTGAGGCCACAACCTGTTACCTGTTTATTGATGTAGTAAGTATTATTTCTAAAGTGAACTGATGAATGTGATGCCATTCAATCTTTCTCAAAGGAGATATGATACTTTTGCTTTCAGCTGAATAGTAGGTTGGGGCATAGGAGGGAAAAAATTATTTTAAAACCTGGTTATTATTTATCTGGAAATTAATGCAATTTCCCAGAGCTAAAAAAGGCCTTGCTGTGATTGGACGGCCTTGAATTAAAATGAAAACTCCCCACTGCCGATGGTCAATACTCAAGTCTGTCATCATTGCCCATCAGCTAAGAAACAGAATTTAAGAATACCTTCTGTAAAAGGTGTCAAGTATTCAGCAGGTAATGGCTTCTGATTAATAAATTGCTTTTTTATTATTTACACTCTTGCTTGGGGTGTCTACCCTAAGTCAGTTGAAGTCTTTGAAACTGGTCCATTTCTTCTGTAAGCAGCCCATTTTTCCTAGTTAAGAATGCCAGGAAAATAGATCATGATAACAAATGCAGTTCTAATTAAAAAAAAATTTTAGTATTAAATATGCAATATAAACAAAGAGAAGCCTGCAGCAATATTTTACAGCTATATAATTATCACATATATATTAAATTAAATGATCCCCTACCCTATCATTTAACAGGATAAGACAGGAAAGACAGTTTTTTTGGTCATTATGTTTTAGTCCATCAACACTGTTTATGGAGACAGAGTCACACAGCTCTAAAGTAACAAAGCAGTTCTTCAGTTGTACCATGTAAAACTGACCTCCCAAACAAAACAAAGGAAGAAAACAATACCTGGCCTGTGCAGAAGAAAAACAATGTAAATTCATTAAAATGTAAAGCCACAAAACTTCTACTTTTTTTTTTTTTTCTGATTTTCCTCTTTTTCCCCTCATAGTTCAAAGTAATTCAAAGGAAGTAATAATCTTCTCTTAATCTCAATAAGTTGTCTTAATTGCTGTCTTCCTCTTTCTATATTTTATTCAAACTTTTTAATGCTTCAAAATATCCCACTTCTTTTCTGTGCATATAACTTATGCTACCATAAAGCCTCATATAAGCCTGTATTTCCTCAAAGAAAACCCATTTCATCCAGCTATTTGACATAAAATACCTTCTCAGAATAAGCTTGAAAATACACTATAGTCTTTCTCCCCCAGTCATATTTTATGGAACAAAATCCTAGGAGTATTGACTAGATAGACTTTTGAATTCCTTGTATAAAACTGATTTTATTCATGGTATGAGTGACTAAAGAAGCAGAATGCAAATTGACTTACCTTGAAGGTGATTTTATCACAGGTTAAAAGCATTCAGAGGAACCACTAATATTAGAGTACACTGCAGTGAACTTGTATCTTTTTACCTGGGAGATAATAGATCCTACCTCTGTCTCACAGTTACCCTTCCACCCCCAAAAAACCTCCAAAAAATCAAACTACTACAAATCACAAACAAATTAATCTTTAAAAAGCTTTATAAGCAGCAATTTCATGTAGCTAACATAGGGAAACACTGTTCTAATGGAGGCTATACTACATTTGTTCTTATATTTTTTTGCTTCCCATATGCAGTTAGAAAGTAAATTTAAATTACATTAATTTATTTGGCATATATTTGGTACTTTTCTATGACTGCATGACTGAATGCTAACTAGGTTTCTGGCACAACCAGAAGAAACAAGAAATGTTACACCTGACAGCGTAGTTAGGGTTGAAACAGAGTACAAGCAGCATGTTTTATTTGCTATTGTGAAGGGCAAGCTCTGCTGTGCTAAACTTTATTCTCTTGGCAACTAGTTGATAAATACAAAATACTCCAACAAATCATTCTTTTACCCTTCGCTCAAAGTGAGCAGATCTGAAAGGGACAAAAAGTTGCTGTAATTACAATTAAAGAGCAGTGAAGGGGGAAGGAAGAAACCCAAATTTTGCAACTGGCGACTATTCCCTCTATCCAGAGTGTCCAAGCAGCACCAAGAGAGAAGACAGACACCTCTGACGAGTACACAGGTATTTTTAGCTCAGTAGTGCAATCTGAATTTTTTAAGTGCATTGCAACAGGCAAGTCCCTTGCTGAAAGCAGTGAAAGGCCCTTCAGGAACCTCTGACAGAGCAAACTCCCCATCAACATCCATCTACCTCCATTACCTGTGTCAGTCAATGCGGATGATATGCACAGCCCCAAACACAGGCAGACCTGGACAAAAGGGGCTGTGGGTAAAGGAACAGCTTTGATTTATGTGATCCAGAGATCTGTTGACTGATTACACAAAACAGAGATCTGTCCAGTTCAGGCAAGGACAGTTTAGACTTGGACATGCTGTTTTGTTTTCCAGCTTTATAAGAAGGTTTTTTTTTCTGCAGCCCATAGATCTTTCCAAGCATGGTGACAGTATTAAAGAGGGGCTTCAAAATGCTGTTACTGGATTATTGTGTGGTGCTCTGGATTGTACCCAGGAATTGAGCCAAACACTTTTTTCCAGCCCTCTTGCAAGGCAAGTTGTTGACAGAAGGAGCAGGCACTCTTGTGACCTTTAAAAAGTTTCACTTTCATAAATTGCAACCCAGACCCCCAAGAAGCCTTAAGGCTAGCATTGTTGCAAGACAGAGAGTGGAAAAACCTAAGAGCAGTGGAGCATGCTGAAAACTAAAAGTTACTGGGATTTGTCGATGGAAGCAATGTATGCCATGGACATAGCCAGAATGATATAGCAAGAAAACGTGTTGTGGTGCCCCTACTTAATTTCCTCAGAGCTAAAAGGTACGATCTGTTTGCTTTAAGTTTAGCCCTATGTCACTCAGCAACATTTGAATGTTGTGGGTGAGCACAGAACACTCCAGCAATACAAACATGGGCAACCACCTTAACAGCGGTGCTGTGGGAACACTGAGTCTCATCAGCAGGATCCAGGCCCATCCTCTCCAAGCAGGGATAGCGAAAGTGCAGCCTCATCCTCAGCAAGGGCTGTCTGACTCTGAGGAGCAGCTGCAGGGAAAATCGGTCCCTTGGCTCCTGGTCTAAAAGTTCCTTGGCTCCTGTCTCTAAAAGGTGCTGCCGACAGCAGGCTGTCCCGGGCGGGGAAAAGAGACCGTGTCACCATGTTCCCACTGAGGGTCAGATCTGTCCACACATGCGCGGGTTTTATATTCTTGGCTTCTCCTCCAGAATTCACAGCTGACACTAGTTATTTCTAGGAGTTGTTTCTCTCCAAAAGGAAAAAGCAAGGGTGGGGGAAGAAGATGGTTGCAATTATTTAAATAAATAGCATATAAGCAACTGGTCTTATTAAAGAAATAGAAATAATAGGCTTAGTCTTTTCACATCTTGTGCACTTATATGGATTATGACAAGCTCAGTTCTGTACAAATAATTTAATGAATGTACAACTTGCTTCTACATGATAGTACATATACCTAACTTGTGTTCTTTCTTTCTTTCTTTTTGAGGGGATTATATTACATAAACATAGTACATAGAAAAGGCAAAAATTATCATCAAATACTTTTGTGGCTCACTGACAATGTTTACTGAATTAAAAGGATGAAATTTCTTCCATTCTGTTGGTTTCCTTGTAGTTCATGGATTTTAATTGCTTTTGTCTCTGAGTTCATCTAGCTCTGATTCATGACTGCTGCATCACTAAACCTGCAGAAAAATAAATTTTCAGCCTTCCCAGTCACCTTCCTTTTATGGAAAAAAACTAATAGAGGAGTATTTGTCTCAATCCACACAAGGTCAACACAAACAAAGACAAGCAGAAAAAGACAATTCTGAGGGAATGACTGGACACAGATATGTGAAGAACATTATATGTTTCCCTGCACCAACATCTAAACAGTCACTGGCAACTTGCCTAGATATTTTGTATGCTACGTGTCTGTCAAATAGCTCAAAGATCCAGATGCAGAATCTGGCAATTATGACATTCTGGTGATGCCTTTCAACTCTTCAGCTTGTGATTAGGATACAGAGAAGCATAAATATAATGATTTTTAATCAGGTATCTTTTTTCAGGCACTGTTTTATTTATCAGAAAATTGACATATATTTCCCTCACTTCATCAAAACAGTATTTCAAAAACTCCTTTTCTTTTCATTCTTTCTAGAGGAAAGGTTCTAAGGGCAAACTTCTCTCTTAAATAATGGAGAACAGTCATTCAATTGTGGCATCAGCCTTCCCAATATCACTTCCATAGAACAATGAGAAGGAAATTGCTAGAAGTTTTATATGAATGCAGTTATGAAATTTAAACTCTTACTTCTGAAGTGAAAGGACCAAAGTATCTAATACAGTAGGTACACTGAAAAAATTAAGGGATACTGCCTATCTCATGCAACTTACTAAAGATAAACTATATGAGTGCATTCTTGTGTTTCGCTTCATAATTTCTTTATCCCAAGCCTTAGAGTTCTGCAACCAAAACTGCAGAATGCTCCATTGGGCTTGCATCTTCACAGATCCAGCATAGTACAATTGGTGCACTCGCAACTGCTCTGCATATCTAATAGATGGCAGGCTGACCGCACAATGGTTATGTCATTGAGCCCACAGATTAATTTTGCAGAGACTCGGACAGGTTCAGAGGAGCTTCTCTGATTCATTAGTAACATATTAGGTAACATTAAGAGAATTTTTTTTTCAGCAAAACATACTTTGCAATTACTGAAAAATATACTATATATAGTTTTGTCCTGTAAGTCCCTGTGTGTTCCAGAAAGCTGAAAGTCTTACCAGACAGCTTGTGCTCAGTTTTCTGACACCCACATTGTCTCCTAATAGACACTGCTCTAGTTTCCATTGCTCTCTAAAGTGACTGATGCTCTCACCAATGAGCTATTTGTCCTGTCACTCTGGAAGGACACCAGTGGTGTCCACCACCCCCAGCTTAGCACTTGGATAGAGAAAAATAGGTCATTTAATGCAGCTAAGGCATAGGCAACACTGAGGATTTGAAGATAGGTTTTTCCTGCAAGCCTCAGACACTGCTGTGCACAGAAATATTCCTCCTCTGTTTACTTAAGAGGAGGTTGCTGGAGCAAGGAAAGCAAGTCTCCAGCATGCCCTGTGTTCATGTAACATGTTTTCTCAAAGTGCTTCAATTTCCTGTTGAGTTACCTAAAACAGTGGTCATAAAACAGGTGACAACTAAATCTTACAACTTGCAAGGACCTTGTTGTGTTTCTAATACAATGTTTTGAAGCCCTTCTCTTTGGAGCCATGAGTGGAGTGTGTACTGCCCACGTATGAAAAAGAGAGTTCCATCCTAATACCTCTCAATGCCTGCATGAGGTAAGTTTAACTACCGTTAACTCTTACAACAAATATGACTTCACCTTTTTAACCTAACAAAAACTATAGTTGTAGTCTTCCATTTAATAAGGCCACATTGGTGCCCATCTTTTCCTTTGATTCCTTCTTGGATTTTTTTCTTTGATTCCTTCCTTCTTCTCTCTTCTTAGAGAAGAACTCTAAGAACTAAGCAATATTTATGGTATTCATTGGAAACTCAATTTTCAACAAAAAAAAATTGCCTAAGTCTCTTACTGGGAGTATTCTGTGTGGATTGGACTCAAATAGGGACAAGCTAGAACTCAAAATCTATAATTTGCTCTCTGAGTTTGCTCCAGGTGACCAGTGTCTTTGAAGCACTTACAAGCAGCACTTATAGCCAGATGCAGTTTAAATGTCATTACCCAATCTAACTGCTGCAGCCATAAGCTACGTCAAACAGCTACCAAAAGTTTCACTTTTATAATTTCTACTAAGGATACATTTTTGCTTGTGAACCCAGAGTAATTCTTCTGCCATGACAGTCATAGCATGCAGGAGACTTAAACCATCTTAGTGATCTCATTTTTCTCTTCATAATATATTAAGAATTTTGAAGAACACTTTCTCACCTTTACCTTCTCTACTTTTTTCACTATGATCTCAGTAGTCTTCAGGCTTCCAAAGCTGTGCATGCTTTAAACAGCAATATATTCCACATTCCATCTCCCATATCTTACAACATGACCATAAAGTGTTAAGTAAAGCCTCAGATAGTTCTGGATTTGAATGAGGTTTCATGTGAATGAAACACACAAGGAGCACTTGGGAAGGGATTCTTTGCTAGTGAGAGCTACCCAAATTATTTCCTTCAATATGGCTTTTCAAGTCCTTGTGCTTCCTTTTAAATAATGGAAGACCAGGCTATAATTGCTATAATCAGGAACACATTCCAGTTATTCTAGTCTAAAGCACTACGTCAAGTAACTTTACAGGAAAAAAAAAAAATCATGTTAAGCTTACAAAACAAAATATTTTTCAAGCAAATAAAAAAGACACCAGCAATTTATTTTTATGAATATTATGAACAACCCTCTGAAAGCTTAAAACGAAAACTTATTTCTTTATAAAATAAATTAGTTCTACACTTTATTTTATGTAATTTTTATTTATATTTAATCTATTTAAAAATAGATTTTTTTAATATTATTTTATATTTTTAAAATGCCTATTGGTGGTAACTGGATAGAACACAGGTTTTAGAAGTCAGATTAAAAGATTGCATGTTAAATTTCCTAGTTTCCTAGGTTTATATATGTACACATCACTTGGATAAACACTGAAAACAGAATCAATGGATTAATCTGTTATTGCAGAGGTTCTTATACCTACTAACCATTTCAACTTCTTTGGTATGTGTAAAGGAAATTTTGGAGGTAAACTTGACAGATTCACATTTTCCTTTATCTTATTATGTGCTTTCTAATGGTATGGCCAGTTTTGGTAATTTTTGCTTAATAAATTGCAAAGAAAGCCTGCACATATATTTTCGCACTCCTTTTTCCTTTATAAACCATATGTTTGAAAAATTTCTAAAAGCTACATTCTTAAATTAATAGTTTTGATGAGTTTAATTTAGAAATAAGGAAATATATTAGAAAAGAAAAAGATGTATTAAAAATAATAGGCCTTGTAAATGGCACAAACCTATTTTCATTTTATGAAGTATTCTGTCTGGGAAAACACTTGGACTGTAGGAGCAGGAACACAGCTGGTGTGTGCATACCAGAACATACAACTATTGCTGGAGTGAAACTATTGTGTTTATTGTTAAAGGTTGGGACAACGCCAGGACATCTCTGGATCTAAATCCTCAAGCAAAACTTGCTCTGGCAAGAGCTCCCCTGCAGTCCGGGCACAGCTCTCCAGCTATTCTGACAAGTTTTTTTCCTAGCCTGCTGTAAACAGGAAATCAGAGTGGAGAAGCCATGCAAAAAGTATGAAAGTCCCTTCTAAATTTGTTGTGTAATGCGCTTGAACAGAGGGCTTACTGAACAGAAGCTGAGTCATGTTTCTGTAACCAATGACAGGTTTCCCTTCCCCAGCCCTCTCCCCCACAACATTATTATTATTATTATTATTATTATTATTATTATTATTATTATTATTATTATTTATTACCATCATCATCATTATTATTATCATCATTATTATTATTGTCATCATCATCATCGTCATCATCATCATCATCATCATCATTGCTACTACTTTTTTTGTTTATCTGATTCTTTTTATGTCAGCCCTGAAATATCCCTTCACTGCCTGGGTGAGGGAGAACAGCTGTTTATAGCAATCATCTTGATATCACAAAAGACTGAACTTCCCACAACTGCTCAGAAACACCAGCACAGAGCAACAACATTTTAAAAACTTGACAATGTCATTGCCATTAAGCAGGAATCCCCCTTTCATGGACTGTACTATTTTTTAAGGAGAAGCAGCAGGACAAACTAAATGTGACTGCAGCAGAGCACTGTACAAGCAAACAGGGCAAATAATTATCATACCCTCTTGAACCTTCAAAGATTTTAAAACTCGTCTTATTCTTACCTTGCAGTTGGTGAGGAAGTGATGCACCACAAAATCATTCTGCTGCCTGGAAGAGAAATCAGAAATAGTTAGTTGCTGTAACTCTTAGCAGTCTGCCAGGCAAATAGGTCAGTGCTGGGCAAATAGGTCAGGTGATTGGGCTGCTGATGGGAGCAGAGTGGCACAAGTGCCAGGCTGGACTTTGCTGCTTAAACAAGCACAGCAGAAGAGACAATTTCTTATCTGGAAGACAGGTGTGGGGATTTTCTGTCTTAGGTATAATCATGTAAAACAGTTACACCTTATGTAATCCATACTTTACTAAAAAAAAAATGTTAAAAGTAAATGAAAACAAAAAAAGGAAAAAAACCCTAAATTAAATAGAAAATGCAAAACCAACCAACCAGAAAAAAGAACCCAAACCTGAAAAACAAAATATATAAAGTTCTAATTTAAATTACTATCTTTATATCAGAGCTCAGAACAGTATTCTGAGATTTGAGTTTTGATTGCATTCATATCTGAACAGTAAAGATCTCTTTCCTCAAGTCAATTGATAACAAGAAAATCTCCACTGAAAGAAAAATAAGTAAATGGCTAATATATTGTTGAGGAACATTTGAAAACATAACTGGAATGAACTCTGATATCACAAGCCTCATATTCACACTAATAGACACAGGTGTACACTTCACCTTCAAACTTATTCCTTTTGAGAAAATTCTCTTCTAGTAGGTTTTTTTTTTTTTTTTTTTTTGAATGTCTAGGATTGACAATACTAATTTTTTTAATGAGAAAATTTAAAAAGCTGACCTTCTCTTGTTTTCTTTGATTATGTTTTGTCACCTTTTATTGTTATCTTCATTTCCAAATAAAGTAAAAAAGTAATTTATTTTTCATCAGTGTTAATTCTCTCAGAAAATAGTAGCAAGTGGCAAATAATTCATATTTGCTTGTTTTGCCTTTCCTATCTATAGCTAAGCCAGTTTTCCCTTCCAGCTGCCCTTAAACCTGGCCTTGCTCATTTTATGCAGAAAAGAGCAGAGGTGGTCTTCAGCTTGAGTCCTTAGCAATACCAACTGAGTTTTAATTAGTATAAATAAAAATTGTCAGTCTTCATTCCAAATTTCTTTGATGGGTCATCAGCATTCTTCACTGATTTACAAAGTTCACTGATGATTTACAAACACCTGGGGACAATGCCACTATAGCTGCCCAGAGCTGGGTTATCCACCACCTATCTCTTTCTGATGAGGCCAAATTTATTCCTAGGACAAGTCTTCCTACCTGTGAAAAACTCAAGTATCAGTAAGATTTTTGTCCTGCCTAGCACTCCTACCAGCTCCCTTTGCCTTCCAATGCTGCTCTAACCCTTGTGTTGCACCGCTGCATGGTGAAAAAACCAACAAATCACATAACTCAATGTTTAATGAAGAAAGGAGTGAGGGAGACTAAAGGGATAAAGAGGACCAATAGAATGCACCAGACAAGCTTTCAACACAGTGATGGTGGAGGCAGCTCTGTGTTAACCTGCCCCAGGGTCTCCTACTGGGAGTTTATTCCTCTTTCTCTATCAAGTGGTGCCCAAGGTTATGATTTCGTCTTGTGCTTTCTAGTACTTCCAGAAAAGCCCCAGTCTCTTGAGTGAGGCAATATGACTCCCACAGTCGTTTTGGAGTTTTGTCTGCAGTAACTTTCTAACCACGTTGTTTTGTGAGAAAAGCTTAAAACCTAGAAGCTAAAAAAACTCAAGTTGCAAAGAAAGGACAAAAAAATATCATCAGCTACACCCTGAACTGTGTTTGGAATCTTACCAAAATTGTGCTTAGTTCATTGCTTTCCAAGAAACTGATGTCCTATGCAGTTTCAGCAAGTACATTCTGATCTTTCTTTTTGACCTACATGTTCCTGGCTCTGCCCTGTCCCAGTCCAGCAAGACTGTATTCTTGTACAAATTCAGGAGAAGCAGGCAGGAGAAAAAAATTCAGTGATTTACCCCATCATGAGTTCATCATTAAGGCTGTGCAGCTTGTCTAGAATATTGAATTAATACTGTTAGTTGTCATTAATTTTCTCAGACGATGGGCAAAAATAATGTGGCATATGCTGTTCTTAACTTCATACAATAATGAACCTCTAACTCCACTTCTAGAAGTGAAAATGGGGAAAGTAATACACTTGGCACTTCCAAAACTCCCAGTTTATCAACATTTTCTTTTGGGTATTCACAACAAATGTTATCTTTCATCCTTCTGTTACTCTTTGCTTATGTCATAAATAGCCTTGCAAGCAATAAAATTCCTTATCTCTAAGGTAAATAAATCTTAGCCTACGTTATAACCTTCACGGAAGGATTTTTCTTTTAAAGATAAAACAAATGCAAAACCAGACATTAATTTGTGTAAAACTATCTGTAGACTCATAATTTCATACCCTCTCTTTTTCCCCTCTTTTTTTGTGAAGGAAACAAAAAAAAGTAAAGATGCTCATTGTAAGCAACTCCAGCATGGCTTCTGATGTTGTGCATGTTGGTGTTCCTTTCTCCCCATCATATTCTGAACCATACGAAGAAGGAAAATATATTTGCAACATAAGATCAATGTGCAGCCAATGAATAAAGAAAAGGTGTGGGGAAAACATCACCATTAACTCATTTTGGATCCATTCTCATGGTAAGGGAAGACATGATGAAGAGATCAGAGAGCTGAGCATGAAACACTGCAGGTGAGGAGATGCAGAGCAGAAGGCAGAAATTATGGGACTGGGACAGAAATGAGCCTTCCAACTCTTTTCCTTTGTCTTCTTATGTATTTATTACCTTGTGAGCAGAAAACCTGTCTTCACTTTTTGTGTCCCTCCATTCATGAAAGCCCTCATGAAGATACTCAGTAATTATGAAAATAAAAGTAGTTCACAATAAAATCTGAACTACTGCATCAGGATTTGGCCCTAGCTCTTAAGACGGCAATTTAAAAGAACATGTCATTACTACCTGAAGAATTTGTCAGTACCATCCTGGTATTAGGATTACAAACTACACAACTAATTATCCCGATACACAGATAGGGAAGTAAAATATCCATAAGTCAGTTAACTGTATTATTCAGCAAATGGGAAAGAATTGGAAATTGAAGAAGCAATACAGAGAAAGGGGAGGAGAAAGTTTTCTTTAACTTGGAGGAAAGTAGGTAAGATAGTTATCTGCAGCTATTTACTGTGTAAAAAGCTTCAGACAGTAAGTTTTAAAAACATGGGGTATACAGTCTATAAACAGAGAGAAGCACAGGAGGGAAAAAATCAAACAAAAAAAAGGGTCTTCAGTTTATGTTTAGAAACAGACACTGAACAGCTAACAAACAGCTCTTCTTACAAAAAATTCAGACACAAGAGAAAACAGTTTCAAGATGTGTGATATGTAAAACCTACACATAGCAATTTTACATTACACGGACTCACACATACTGCAGAATGCACTGTAGTTAGTTCCCAGAGATGTTGAGATGGTGAAAAATATTTAAAGGGCTTTAAAAAACAATGACTGTATTATTCATTCCCAAAAGACTCATTCAAACAGAAACTGAGAAATCCTAAAATAAGGAAATCTGACTCTTATTATTTGCTGATGTATATGCTACAGCTAATAAAAAGTCTGGAACAGCATTTCATTTCATCTTAGCTAGCACATCCTTAGGTTACAAAACTCTACTACCACCATCACAAATCTTCAATCAGCAACTTTCCAAGCCGAAGAATTATTCCTATAGTACCATAAAATAATTAATACTTCATTATCTCTCACTTTCACTCAGACCCTCACAGATTAAGAAATATACAAAATGTAAACAAGGGAAATTCCCTGTAACTCAAAAACTTCCCAAAACTTTCAAAAAACCCCTTTACATAGCCAATGTCTTAAATAAGGAATAAGAAATGCCACAATAAGGTACAGTTCTCTCTTGAGAAGTATGTCAGGGATGGATAGGAAAATGAAAGACATGGAGGAAAAGCTCCACAACAAGTCCCTGATTATCGCTGGGTTAGGATCATGGTGTGAGCTATCCTCCCTCAGAAAATAGCTTTGGATTTTAGGAATTTGGACATTCATCTGCAAACTTTGAGAGATCATTTCCTCTCCCTGAAAATAATCTTTATTGTAAATCAATTATTTCATTTCTATAATAGCTGACATGAATGACAAAATAGAGCAATTCTACCTGCAGACCTACTAATACTGTTTGAGGGCAGGACACATCCTTAGAATGGGAAAATACAAAGTTAGAATACAAGGACAGAACTAAACATAGCCACACAGTTTTGTGACAAGCAGTCTTTTTCACCCTTGGCATCTGCGATGATTCAGTTGTTACTCAGAAAGGAGAGAGCATCTAGTGAATGAATCATCAGGCTATATCCTGTAGCAATTTTGTTTTCTCTAGTGTTGTTCCAAGGACAAATGACAAGTCTCTACCTCTGCAAGTTAGAGGGATCCAGAGGGACACACTGCCAGAAGCAAATAAGTAAAGGGATGAAAAGAACAGCCTTGACTATATGTGATTATACATCTTCACACAACGTAAGTCATCACAGTCAATGAGGTTATTAATGGTGATAAAGTGACTTTTGTTTAACAGAAAACAGAATCCTTGGTAAAAGGCATCTTTAGAAATAGAAAAATGTGTTGGCTACATGAGTTACTCATGTAGAAGGTTCCTGTTTTATTTTAGTTATTCAGTTCACTTTTCTCTCAATGTAGAGAATTAAAACATAGCTGAATGCATTTGTATGACATATAAAAAATAACACAAATTTAGTCCACTCATAATAATTTAAATTGAACTGTCAACCTAAACACAGCATTTTGAAAGAGCTGTCATGATCAGATCCTTTCACCTCATTGATGGAAAATTATTTCTCAAAATCAGAAAAAAATGACATGTCCAGGATTTCCAAATGACAACACATTTGCTGAAGGTCTAAGGTGTGTGGGCATGCCTTATTTTCAGTTACAGATTTAAGACTGGAAGTCCCAGAAAAGAGGAAAGTTTTTGCTTTCCTCATCCCAAATAAAATTTCAACTGGTAAAAGAAAAAAGAAAAAAAAAAAAAAAACTCACATGAAAAGCTGCGTCTTCACATAAAAGTGTGGTAGGTTCTAAATCAGTCACATTAAAACTTTATGGATTTTTTTGCCCTTGAATTCATGTTAC